ACTGCTTATTTGCTGACCTTCTGCGTTATTTACAAATTTAAAGTGGGGCCAACCCTTCCTGTTTTCATTTAATTTACCCCGGCAGCTGCTGGTTAGCTAAGGGAGAGGAAAAACCCTCCTTTTTTTTTTTTTTTTTTTTTTGATGGATACAAGCAGCAATTAGGTAGGCTTCTAGGCCACATAGCCAGTTAGGGGTGGCAGGGTGCCCAGGTCCAGCTTTCTTAGGGTCATAGGGTGAGAGTGGGAATAAGTCACTCAAGTGTTTCTCCCAAATTGAAATGCGTATCTTCCTTTGGCTGGGCAGATGGGGTCCCCTTTTCTCCATCTCTGCCGCTGGGTCCTGGCGCAGGCCCTTCCTCTTTTCCCCAAACCCCTGTGGCAGCCTCCTCCTGAGCCTGTTTCTCCCCAGTCCTGCACCCATCAGTCTACTTCCACGCAGCAGCTACAGGGATCTTTGCAGAACGCAGCCTCCTGCTGCCTCCGTGTTGGCCTCCCTGCCCCCATTAAAGGAATTTTCTTTTTTCTGAGACAGTGTTGTGCTCTGTCACCCAGGCTGGAGCACAGTGGCATGATCTCAGCTCACTGCAACCTCTGCCTCCCGGGTTCAAGCAATTCTCCTGCCTCAGCCTCCCAAGTAGCTGGGACTACAGGTGCCCGCCACCATGCCCAGCTAATTTTCTTGTTTTTAGTAGAGATGGGGTTTTGCTATGTTGGCCAGGCTGGTCTTAGTCTCCTGGCCACAGGTGATCTGCCTGTCTCAGCCTCCAAAAGTGTTGGGATTACAGCTGGGAGCCACCACGCCCAGCCAAGAGAGACTTTTCTATAACAGCCTCTAGTGTCATGATTCCCCCTTCCCAGCTCGCTCTAGCTTTTAAGATCACATAGCCTGCAAAGTCCCCTGAGATCTGCTTCTGCATGAAGCTTCTCTTCCCCAGTGCTGCCTACCAGCTTGACTTCCCGCCTTTGGGAGTCGGATGCAGCCCACTGGACATCCCATGCCCTCTCCAAACGGCTGCACCAGCCTTGCCTCGCACCTGCCCTCTGCCTACTGTCCTACTGTCTTTCGACTGTGCCCAGGGGCGTTTCCTGTGGGAAGCCTGCCAGCCCTCAGTCTGAATCTTTAGGTCCCCAGAACCTCCCCTATCCCGATACGTGTTGCACTAGATTGTCATCACTTCTGTTTCCCCTGAGATTCATTATTCCCTGAAGGTCTTTCATGTCTGTTTCCCTGGGGCTCAGCACCTTGGCTGGCATAAAGTAAGTACCCAATAAATTTCAGATGGAGCATATGTTAAGTTCCCTGTAAAACCTCAGCAGCTGCAAATTCTGCCACCGGCCTGGGTTGTGGGGGCTCCTTCCGTTTTCAGACACAGGAGACTCCCAGGGATTTTTAGCAGGAAAAGGTAGATTCTTGCCTTTTAGTCTGTCAGAATGCCACTTTATTAGATGTGTTAGAACTCCAGAAGCTTCGACTTTAAAATTTTCAATTTGTAGGAATTATTTTTTTAAAAGCAGTAAAATTTCGGCAACTATGGTCTGTGCCAGAGCCCGAAGCCTCTTTCTCCATCCTGAGGAGTTCCTCTGCCTAATTGCATGCTGAGCTCAGGGAAGCCACACTTCCAAAAACGAAAAGGAGACCACTAAAGGTGCCTTTGCAGCTCAGATAAACCCGGCCCAGCGTGGGAAGGAGGGGCCGTCCTTGTGGGGGTGCTGGCCTGTTTCTAATTGCTGCACTCTCTGCCTCCACCCACGCCTCAGTGTGGTTTGAGTCCCTTCTGCCCAGAGCTACTGGGACATGTCATAAGAAGCTGCTTGTCAGACTTCTTAATTAAAATGGGTTCAGGCAGTCATTGCCAGAAAGCAGCATTCGCACCCCCGCATGTCCAAATGCATTACTCATCCAAAATAAGGTACGCCACGACTCAGGTTTCCCTTCTCAGCGACCATGGCTTGAATGGCTGCATTTAGCAACAGCCCTTACTTCAAGCCCCTATTTCTTAATTATTTGTCATTTATTCACATTCATCCTTGTGTGTGAAACATTTTCCCCCTCATCCTATATGCTGCTATGTAAACGAGTAATTTTTTAGGATGATGTCAGAACCTAAAGTAGTTGGAATGTTTTAAAAATGGTATTTTATGGACAGCAAGGAAAGTGGTTTTGCTTCTCATTTCACTTGCTAGCTTTGGGATGGAGGGCAGTTTATTTGAGCTCCTGCACCTCTGTGATCTTGTCTATAAAACGCGGGCAGTGACTGGTGCTGTGGCTCACATTGGTAATCCCAGCACTTTGGGAGGCTGAGGAGGAAGAATCACTTGAGGCCAGGAGTTCAAGACCACCTTGGGCCACATAGTGAGACCCCATCTCTACAAAATTAAAAAAAGAAAATAATAAAAAGCCAGGCATGGTGAGTACCCAACTGTAGTCCCAGCTACTCAGGAGGCTGATTTGGGAGGATTGCTTGAGCCTACGAGTTCAAGGCTGCAGTGAGCTATGATTATACCACTTCTGGGAAACAGAGCAAGACTCTGTCTTAAAAAAAAAATGGAGGTGGGGGGCAATAATCCACCAGCTCAGGTATTGTGAGGATTAAGAAAGGCAGTGTCTGTGAAGAGCTTGGCCCAGTCTCTGGTAGCCAGGCAATAGTAAATGACTTCTGTGTCCCTACCCCCATCTTCACCTATCCCCCAAGAATAACATCATAACTGCCTTATTTCATCATTAAGGATTTAAATGCAAAAACCTTAAGATAGCCAGCCTTAGGGAAACACTGAAGAATTTATTTTTAAACACATAAAGATTGCATTCATTCATCGCTCTTCACACCACCGGCAGTCTTCAAGTTCTGGTTAGCAGAGTCAGCGGGCACAGGGAGGGTCTGGATCCCGGGGGTGTATGCTTTGCTCCGAGAAGGACATGGGTATTAAAGTTTTTTATGAAAAAAACTCCTGATATCTGGAGTTCAAGAGGAGTTTTCTGGAAATAATTTGTCCAAAGGCTCCCCCATCACTCTCTTGGAGAAGTCCTGTGTTTTATTTATGTTGAATGACTGAATCTATTCCCAGCTGAATGCTTTCCTGAATACCAATATAAATCATCTGCCAGTCACTCAGGCTCCCACCCTGGGAGTCATCTGTCCTCTTTGCCTGGTCTCCCACGCCCCAGAGGTCAGCACCCACAGGACGGCCATATCTGCCCTCCCTGCCCTTGCCACCCCACTTCGTCTTGGCCACCTCCTCTCCAGGGCTGCCACGGGAGATTTCCCGTCTGTCCTCCAGTGTCTCTGCATGTGTTCTCATCCCGGGGGCCCCGAGGAATTCTGAAGGAACACGAGCCTCTGTGGCCCCATACACTCGGGACCACCACCACTCACTTCTTGGAGACAATGGCAGAAAAATAGAAACAAAACAGAGTAAAATCCTCTTTAACTTTGTTTAACTTGATGCTCCCCCCAGTCTATTTAATTTCAGACTCCTATTTACCCCACTCCTAGGTAACTGAGGTTCACAGGCCCAATCTGGGTGAATGCTGCTAAGTTTGTGGATGGGCTGCTCCCCATTTGCCTGTTTGGGTGACTTTGAGCCCAAACATTGGTCAGCAAGGGCATCCATACAGTGACATGCTGTATGTCATCAAAAAGGAGGTGGTCCTGACATAGACAGTGTCCAGCACATATGTTAAGTGACGGAAGCAAAGTGCAGCTTGTGAGATGAGCCACCACGTGCTGCCGATGCTTGGACTGGGTGGATACCCAAGTGCCCCGAAATTGGCAGGCACGGCTGCCTCTGGGGAAAGGGGCTGGGTGTCGGGGAGGGGCGGGAGCAAACTCCTCCCCCCATGCCTCCTGGGGCCTTTAGAACCTCTACTTTTTTGAACGCAGTGCTACTCTGCTCCAGACTCCCCCAGACTTCAAACACAGGGTAGTCTAAGTCCTTGGTTCTGCACTTGTGGCCCTGAGGCTGGCCTCAGTCTGCCTGCCTGCTTCTCTTCTCTGCCTTCCCCACTGCCACTCTCCCCTCTCTCCCCTTTGACACTTCTCAGACTTGCCCTGCGCCACTTGGAGGTCCTCGGAGTGGCCCATACCCACCGCTGCTGAGCTCACTTTGTGAGAATGTGGGACCACCTACCAGCTTTACCCCTCCCTCTAACTCTAACTTGTAAGATTGTGGGGGCCAGAGTCCCCGGGAGTCAGTGACACTATGCAGAAAGGCCAAGAACTCCAGGGGTGAACAGATGTGACTGAAAATCTTTACCAGCCATGTGCCCTGGGGAACGGAGCCTTGAATTTCCCTTTTCCTTTTCTGCACAGTGGAGGATAACACGCCTTCGCTCACAGAGTGTGGGTATGTTTCTCACCTCCCTGCAACACCTAGCACAGTACCTGACACCTCATGTGCTCAGGCATTCTTGCTGTCTTTCCTTCCTTTCCTGTCATGACTGTCAATCTACTGTTCGTTCCCTTGGGGCTTGAGATTCTTGGATTCCAGAGGAAAGAACACAGGGCCCAGAGTCAGACTCTCATCCCTGGCTCCACCGATGCCTACCTCTGGGATGACACTGAGTCTTCGGGTCCCCTCTGCCCTAACACAAGATCCATATTTGTCTCATTGCAAAAGCAATTTGATCATCAAAACACTGAATGCAAAGGGTTAGCAGAGTGAGCGCACATGCTCTCCCGTTTGCCAACTGGTTTCTAAGAATATTTGGAGGATGAGTAAAGTAATGTCTTCCATATGCTCAAGAGAAGATGATTTAGCACCACGCAAGGTAGAGGAGGAGAGCCCCCACCCATCAACAGAGTGACCTTGGACGAGACACTAGTGGCCCTAGGCCTCAGTTACCTCATCTAAAATATGAAAGTCATCAAATCCTACCTCACAAGGGGGATTGTGAGGATCATATGAGGCAGTTCATGTGGAAGGTCTTTGTAAACTGTGAAATGCTCTACGACTGTCAGCCAGGATTGGTCGTTAATGCATGTATTTGTTTATTGTTTCAGCGGAGGGTGCAGGACGTCATCAGCCCGATCGTGTTTGAAGCAGCCTACAGCCTCAGTGAGCATGTGACTGGAGAGGAGGAGAGGGAACTACCGCCTCTGACACCCGTTCTCCGCTGGAAAAAGGGACAAAAGATTGCCCAAAAGAATCAGGTCAGAACCTTAGAGCTCATACCCAGCACCCAAGGTGGCAGCTGCATACAGCAGAAACACTGGCCCAGAAGCCGAGAGAGCCGTGGGCCTGGCTGCTCGGGAGACCACGGCCAGGGAACACCTCCTCTCTGGGTTTCCCTTTTCTGAGCTGCAGAATGATAAAATAAATGATCTTAGGGGTTACCTGTGACTGCTGTGGGAACTGAGCACTTGCAGACAATTCTCAAGCTGTGAGAAGTTACAATCCCTTTGAGGTCATGAACTGGCTGCCACTTGGTCCCTGACGTTGCCCCTATGCCTAGATTGTTTTCAGAGCTTAGAATTGGCAGGATAGTAGGTGCTTCGTGAATGTTTTATTGGTGGGAGAATGAGTGAGCTGAAGAAGCAAGAATGGTAGCTTGCTGAATGGGCAGTTGAATTACGGAATGCCCAACCCAAGAGTCCCTGGAAACCAGAGCACTGGGGCAAGGGGGGTGGCGCACACTCATCAGATTCTGGGATGCGCTGCTGTGTAGAGAAGCTTTAGTGTGATGTTGGCTGCACGGCTCGTATGAGGCACGAGTGCGCCCGTGTCTGATTCTGTGCAGCAGCGCTGGCCAGCTCTGAGGCCTGCAGCTCTGAGTGCAGCACAGGAAATATGCAAGGAATCTGCAGTCCCAAGTCTGTTTCAAATCTTTTCCTGAAACCCAAGATCACCACGGACTCAGAAACCTGGGAAGGTCAGGAAGAACTGTGAGCTAACCAGCCTCCTAGGCAGAGTAGGGGCAAAGCTGTGGAACCACCTTTTCCAGTGCTTCAGACCACTCTGAGTGTAGGGGAAAACTAGCAGACTGTGACCCATGCCTTGTAGATTAGAGCTGTAAGCTGGACCACTGAGAAGTGTTTGGAGTTGGAGATGTCCATCCAGGTGTTCACGTAAGTGCTAAGATTTTTACCAAGGCATCCCATTTTCTCCCAAAGCCTCTTCCCCATCATCGTAAGTGGGATTCCCTAGGAGCAGAGCCTGAGAAAGGAATTTGGGAGCACTTGGTCTAATGATACTGTGCTCTTAGGGAAAACCTGTAAAGGAAAGGCAGGGAGCTGAACACGGTTGTGGTCTCAGCTAAAGTCTGGAAGACGGACTCTGGAACAAAAAATACACCAAAGAGTTGTCTTCACCTTGAGGCAGAGGGCTGGCCTTTTGAGCCCCATATCATTCAGCCATTGACTGGCCATGGGGTGGAAGGGGAGTGTAACCCTCCTTAAAAGGGAGCCCTTCAGCTGAGGATGGTTCTCTAGAGGAATGCTGATGTGAGCCGTAAGCAGCCCACACGCACATCAGCCGGAGGAAGGGCCACAGTTGGCAGTGCCCACTACACATCAACACACTCTCTGGGGAATGCTGCCAAGAGGTTTTGGTTTGAAACATGAACCTTCTGTCATAACACAAGTGCCCCAGGAGAGTGGCCTATAAGTCCTGCTGGCCGTTGATACTTGGAACAGGCCCCTGGGCGAGTGAGGGAGGACACATGGTTCTAAGTGGGTGGACAGAGTAGACAGCCTGGCCTTGGGCTGAGGCACGGAGAAGGCCAGAGAAGAGCCGAAGATAAGCTGAAGAGGCTGGGCAGGAAGCTGAGGCTTCTGCCCTAACTGGGAAATACTCCTTCTGACAGTGAAGCAGGGAGAAGAGGTTGGCCTGGGGACACAGTAAAGTGTGGTATTGTGGTAACTCCTAGATAACTGGTCACTGGTCCTAGAATTATTCTGCTTTCTGAGGTCAAATCTTACTGAACTGATAAACTACCCATACTTGTGTTACGGAAGTTACCCAGACTTGGGGTCCTGGGAAGCATTTCAGGGTCCTCTGTGCTTGTTTGCGTCTGAACTGACCCAGTGAGGTCTAGCCTTTTGCTAGCCTGGATGTACTTTCCACAATGAACCTCTCATTCCTGCAAGTCTGTTAGTGGCAGAGATGTGGACCTTCTTTAGTGAAAAGTATCTTGGAACCTTTACTGACATTTTTAGATTCAAGCAGCCAATCAAAGCCAGAGTTGGAGGGACTGATTAGTATCAAAGTGATGTTCTTGGTCACTTCTGGTTCAAGATGGCCAACCAGGCACAAATGTTGATGTCTGTGCCTTCTGAGACCCCATTGCAACGATTATAAATGAGTAGATTGGAACAGGGAGGACAACACAGTGAAAGAAAGGGCAACAGCTAATGAAAGAGTCCAGTAATTTTTTGGTATGAGTGAGGTAAACATAAGAGTGTTAGTGGGTGAACTTGAACTGTACATAGAAGGACTGGGTGCCTGCCGACTCAGGGGACATGGAAGCTGCAGCCACAGCCAGGCCAACAGTTACGGGGCGGGGCGGGAGGGGGGCAAGCGTGAGAAGTGGGGCTGAAAGTGGAGGTGGTAGTGGGGGAGGCCAGTGAAATGTGCAAGTTGGTATGAAGAAGGGTTAGAGTTGACTTTTCACCCTCATTCCCACCCCTACGTGCTTCAGGCATGCAGGTTAGCAAGCAGCCAGGCAGCGTCTTCTCTAAAGAGATGAATAAACTGCTTAAGATTGTGTGGGCAGGCTAGTTCTCAGAGAAAGGAAAGCCTTACTTCTAGCACTTGAAGTCACCAACGTTAGAGCTAGCTTTCTCTCCCATAGTCCAACCAAACACTTTCACAGATTTTCTACTCGGTCCTTTTGCCTTAGTTTGAAATATGTATGGACAACCAAGGAAATCCAAGGTTGAGGAAAATTTGTTGCATGAAAGGAAAGACTAAAATAAACCAGTAGAATAACTAACTCAAAAGGAAACAAATGATTCAGCTTAAAAAAATTTAAAAACACAACAACTTAAAGTCTATGCAGTAGACACAAGGAGATTTAGGAATATATTCCATTCTTTTTATTTTCTAATGGATGGGATTCTGTTCATCTTTAAAAGGAGAAATGAAAGACAAGGGAAGGGCTCTTAAAAATTAAACATGTATTTGCAGCACCAAAAACTCAGTGGAAGGATTAGAAGATAATCGTAAAGAATTTTCCAGTGGAAGTGCTAAAAGACAAGTAGAAAAGAAAACAAAAGAATAAATTCACAAGGCCCTGTATCTCCAACTAGTAAGAGTACCAGAAAAAGTTAACAGAGAAAATTATGTGATAATAGAATAGCATGTTTCAGAGTTAAAGAGAGAAACTGTTGTTTAAAATTGGTGAAAACAACAATTTGCAATCAAGATAAACCAAAATTATCATAGACACATCATTTTGAAATGTCAGTGCTCCAAAGACAAAGGGAACATTCTAAATGTTTCCAGGGCAAAGAATGCAGGATGATGATGGCAGAGGATAAGTCAGCTTACAACAGAATGAAAGACTGAGCGGTTTGTTAGACTCTTTATTAGCAAGATTAGAAACTAAACTATGGTGAAATAAAGGCTTCAATGTTCCGAGGGAAAGTGATTTTGAAATTAGAATTTTGTGTTCAGCCACACAATCAAAGTATAAGGTAAAAATAAAGTCACTTTTCAGATAAGCAAGGACCCAGCAAGTTTACCTCCCTAGTAACCCTTCCAAGGAAATTACCTTGTACTTCAACAAAACCACGTTGACAAACAGAAGGAGAAAGATGTGGGATACAAGAAGCTCTGGAACTAACTCCCCGAAGTCTAATGACAAGAAATTCCAGGGCGATAACTGCAGCAAGTCTAAAAAGCAGCCACGTCAATTGAGAAGAGGAGATTAATTAACTTTCAGAAGAATAAAGCCAAGCAATAGAATGATGAGAAAGTGGCAAATATTCAGGATACAATGCAGGTTGAATATGTTTCTTTTATGGATAAGAAAAAATAAAGGCAACCACGACCTCTCAGAAAAATAGAAATAAGATAATTATCTGTACAGGTGCTCCTTGATTCACGATGGAGTTAGGTCCCAATAAATCCATCATGAGTTAAAAATATTGTAAGTTGAAAATGTATGTAATATACCTAACCTACTATCATTGGCTAGCCTACCATAAACATGCTTGGAACACTTACATTAGCCTACAGCTGGGCAAAAGTCATCTAACACAAAGCTTATTTTGCTATAAAGTGTTGAATATCTCATGTAATTTATTGAATACTATACTGAAAGTGAAAAACAAAAGGGTTTTATGGGTACTCAGGATTAACACACACAGCTGAAAGCACACTGGGCCTAAAGAATATTTGAACTAAAATTAACTGCTGGATTATGGGGTTACTGTAGTAACAGAGTCATCCATTTCTCTCTCTTCTGATGAGCCTCAAGAATAGCTAGTAGAAGCCACTGTGATATTGACGCTTGTTGATGGCTTAGCAGACATGGTGTTCTGTAGAAAGGGATCAGTTGTTTACCCTTGCGATCCTGTAACTGACTGGGACCCGCAGCTCACCCCTACCACCCAGCATCACAAGAAGCATCGTACCATATATTGCTAGCCTGGGAAAAGCTTTTGAAATAAAAAATTTGAAATATGGCTGCTACTGAATGCATACTACCTTCACACCATTGTGAAATCAAAAAATTATAAATTGAACCATTATAAGTTGGGGACCATCTGTATGTCATGGTTAAAATATAAAACAAATTAAAATGTGGTGATAAAATAACCAGTTATAATTATCAGATGTTTTTTGTAAGCCTCGTGGTAACCACAAGGCAAAAACCTATAGTGTATACAAAAAAATAATAATAAAGCAAAGAATCAAACCATACCACTAGAGAAAATCACTTGACCACAAGGAAGACAGCAAGAAAGAAGGAAAGGAAAGGAACAAAGGATCTGCAAAACAACTAGAAAACAACAAAATTGTGTAGTAAGTTCTTACCTATCAATAATTATCTTGAATGTAAATGGATTGAACTCTCCAATTAAAAGACATGGAGTGGCTAAATGGATTAAAAAAAAACAATACCTAACTATATACTCCTTATAAGAGACTCATATCACCTGTAAGGACACATAAAATGAAAGCAAAGGGATGAAAAAAAATTCTACGC